ATACAAGCAGGAGAAAAGGAATGCAAAGTAACTATTATATCAAACAATTGTATTCTTGATGTTTCCTTTTATTCGGTTTAACCCCATTATCAATTCTAACAAACATTTCAACATTAATTTCCTGTTTATTTACCACCTATTAAACCATATTAAACCATAGAGACTGGCATAAAAATATTAAGTATCAACTTTAGCATACGTGTATATGTTATCATATTTGTGAGTAAAAGACACACCTTAGGTGAGGAGCATCCACGAAATTTGTCAAAGTAAATGAAGTCAATCACCTACAAATTGAGATAATATATGTTTTATAAATGGGTCTCACATCTTAATAAACTATTTAACAAAGAAGCTATTAAAATTAAAAAAAAAAAAAAAAAATCCTTAGAAGTCCCTTTGGTTGAACATCATTGGCCTCTTCATCAGAAAACTAATATACGAAAAAAACATTGATTTTGAATTGATTGTAGATTGTTCGAGATTGCTATAAAAGTCTCTATAAAAAATCTAAATAAGTTATACTTTGATGTTCACATATCCGACCCTAGTAATAAAATATAATTCCAGATCTGAACGTCGTACAAAAATCGAATGAGAGATAAGGTGGAAATACAAATCGATCAACGAACATAAGACATAGAATGATCATCGGTGATGGTGAAAGAACATGAGAGAGATTAGACATAGATCGACTGTCGATGACAGTGAGGAGAGGCGGAGTTGGAAGTTGATTTCTTCTCCGATTGCGACGGATGGACGAAATGGACGTGCGGCGCCATATAATCATTTATGATTATAATAAGTCTGTTGCAACGGTATGCCGAAAGGTTAGAGCGGCAGATGTGAAATATATGGCTAATCCTGAGTGTCAACATCTCTATTTTATTTTTAATCTCAACGGATCACACACACACACACACACACACACATATATATATATATATATATATATATATATATATATATATATATATATATTACCTTATAAAAGAAATATTACTATTTCTATAAATAGAGTCAATATAATAATAATATTTTTTAAAACGTTCAAGTTTTTAAGCTTAAAGTACAACCAACTATTAATATAATAATATTATAATATATATCTTACAAATGATAATGCTAGGGATACAAGCATTAAAAACACATTTAAATTAGTATTTCCTTATTTTTAGGGATTAAATTAGTATTTTCATCAATTTTGATCTAACTTGTACTCCTAAAATATCTCTTCTCTGGTATCCGGTGCATTCGAAATCTGAAACACTTCTTTTCGACAAATCGTTTGAAATTTAAAATCTCATTGAAATTGAAGTTCCCTAATTTTTTGCATAAAATATAGTTGACTGGAGACTAATTCAAATCTTCATCTCCTTTTCCACCATGGAATCCACCACCACAATATTTTTTGGTTTTGGCATTGCACTTTTTATTTTTGTGAAACCGATCGATAATGGTGCAAGTGTTCTTAGAAATATAACATGTCTCCGAATTGCGCGGACAAACGGCTAGTGCATATATATATATATATATATATATATATATATATATATATATATATATATATATATATATATATATATATATATATATATATATATAGGGTTAGGTTCATATGAAATGACCTAATTTTGTGAGATTATGAGACGTAATCCTAGCCAATCATTTAGTAGATAAAACAAAAACATTTTTAAAATGCAAAATTATTGAAATTTTCGAAAAAAAATTTTCCAATATTATTTTTGGAATATATATTTTCCAAAAAAATAAAAATACAAAAAATAAAAATAAAAAATAAATAGAAAAAAAATACAAGTTTTACATATTTTAGTAGAATATTTAGAATATTCTACATATCTGACAAATGTAGTAGAATATTTTAAACATTCTAAAAATCTTATTAGAAATGTGCAGTGTAATATTGTATTAGAATATTTCACCTACTTTTCAAAAAAAAAAAAAACAATAATTTTTTTATTTTTATTTTTTTAGTTATTATTATTAGTTTTTTAATTTTTTAGATAAATAAAGTTCCGAAAATAATAATTGAAAAAAGAACTTTTTGATTTTTCTTTTTATTTTGCATTTTAAAATTATTTTTAGATTTGGTCTCATGGTCTAACAAACTTAGCATCGTCTTAAATCAACATGAACATATATATATATATATATATATATATATATATATATATATATATATATATATATATATATATATATATATATATATATATACTAGCCGTTACCCGCGCACAGCGGCGGGGACAAATAGCTTCTTTCAACGATATTTTTTTAAAGAAAAATGTTATGTTCCAAAAGAAAGTTCATGTCGTGGGTGAGAGGAAGGGCGGTAGTCGTGATAGTGGTTGATTGAAGGCGAAAGGAGGCAGAGCGGCTGTGGTGGTGGTGGTTATACTGTCTTGGTTACTGGTTAGGGTTCTTCGAGAGAGTGTGCGTATATTTCTTACTTTGAAGGGATTACGAAGATAGATATTATGAGATTGTTTGTTACCAATGTGAGAGAAGAGATCCTCTATAAATTGTTGACATTGACCGCTTCAAATGGTTGAAGTGTTGAGATTGACGGGTTCAATTTGCAAATGAATTCTTCTATTAATTTGATACGAGATTTTTAAGGGATAAAGGATATGGTTAAAGTTTTAATATTATTATATTATAAATGGGTTGTACTTCAAGCTTAATAGTTTGGACGTCTTAAAAAAATAATATTATTATATTCAATCTATTTATAGAAATAGTTAGATTTCTTTTATAAATAGTAAAGATATATATATATATATATATAATCGGGACAAAAAGGTTCGGGGCAACGATAACCCACTCAATGCACCGAACTCAATAAAAAACCCGATAAAACCTATTACCTCAACCGAAATGGTTAGATATCGGTTTTTTCCTTGTCACGTTCAGGTTTTTTTTGTCATCCCTAGTGTATAGTCTTTTTGGAGGCCTTCTTATCAGTGTTCGGTTCCTACCAGGCCTTTTCTTTAGCATTTTATTGTACGCCAATAACATATATATATATATATATATATATATATATATATATATATATATATATATATATATATATATATATATATATATATAAACATTTAGGATTTTTTTAAAATAAACTTCTTTTTTAGGGTGTTTTTTTTTTTTTTTTTTTTGTGTTTGCACTGACTCTAAGATAACTCAGGACTGCCCTGTGTATGCACTTTGATTGTTAATTTGAACGACAAGGATTATATTATCTTGCCTACCGTTTTTCCTTCTTCTGGGCTCATACTAACATGCTGATTGAATCAAATAGTTTTATTCAGATCGGCTATGATTAGTTTTGGTTTTTAAAATTGTAACACCAAGCCAGAGATTAGTTGATGTGGTGTTATACATCGAACTGTATGGAGGGCTGATTGTAATTAAGAGGAAATTCAAAAGGTGGTTTGGCTTTGGCTACGTTTAGATAGGTGTGCAATGTTGTTTTCAGTTTCTCATCTCTATTTTTTACTATACGTCTAATAAAGGAACCGAGCCAATTGGTGGATTGGAAGTAAATATTTGTTCTACTCCATTTAACAAAATCATTCAAACGCTTTTCCACGTATTAAATTGGTAATCAAAGCTATGATAGGAAGATTCTTCAATCTAACAAAGGAATTCGATTTGTGTTTTTGATTTGGTAATCAAAGCTATGATTGAAGAAGTGATTTGGGACAGATCAGGTGACGGTTTAATCGACATTTTCACTAAGTGATTTTGGACAGATCAACAACCGTAAAAAGTTCAACAATGCACTGATTATGTAAAGCAATGTGAAAATGTCTAGTTATCTTTGTGTTGTTGCCTGATTCATGAATTGGGTATTCTCTTATTATGGATAACGCATTCGACGTAGAAGAATTTTGTATGTATGCCGAAAACCTGTGGCGAATTCATGATTTAAAATCACATGCATCTAACTTTTGAATATAACCATTGTCAATAATAACATTTTATTTTGTTTTTCTTCCAATTTGAATTGAAATGTGATAATTAAAAAAAAAAAAAAAAACGTCTTCACGTTTTTAATTGTGAATTTTTTTTCCTTTAAGGGCGTGTTCGGCAAAACTAGTTGGTAGCGTGTATCTAGTAGCGGATAGCGTTTGATTATGTAGCGTGTTGTTGAAAGCTACTCTATGTAGCTTTTGATTTTTGGAGCGTTTTGTTTAGGCTAAAAGCTAAACGCTCCTGTTGCTGAACAAAGTTTTTTTTTTCTTTTTTTACTAGCATTTTCTTAAAAGCTACAAGGCAGAAGCTCTCAAACGCTGCGTGCCGAACAAGCCCTAAATATTGTTTATCGCAAATTTGTCGATATAAAGATCTCATATGTGATTGCTTTTCGAATAGCAAAGTCAAAAAATGATATACTATAATAAACTATTTTCTTTGGTATCGGTAATAACACGTATATTTTGGGATATCTTATATTTAATTGCTATTCCAAAGGAAGGATTTTAGTTTGAATTTTGACATCGGAAAATGACACATAGTCTACGAACTTTATAGTGTTTACCATTTTAGTCACTAATTTTTTTTATAGCTGTACGAAGGAACTCAGTTGTGGGTAACCTGCTCTTTTAGACTATTTACTTGTTTTAGCCGGTTTGGATAATAGATAGATCAAACTTGGGCCCCACCCATCTCTCTCTCTCTCTCTCTCTCTCTCTCTCTAAACTTTTGAGTTATGATCATCAGTTACTTTGACATAACTAAATTTTAAGTTCGATTCATGTGCATTTTCTCCAAAAGTTTGTAATAAGATTGTACAACGTAACCCTTTGAGCATTTCTCACAAACCCACTACTTATTATTGATGTGTTTTCTCCGAAAGTGCTTTTTCATCCCGACGAGATCTCCAAGCGCGTGACAAGGGTCATGGTGTAAACAGCTGGGTTCAAGGCACACGAAAACCCTTTTCTTCACCTCTGGTGAATCCCTTTTCAAAAACTTCCATGGCACCTTGTGATGCCTCCGGTGCATCTGAAGATTCTGATCTCATTGTAGTAGCAGCGAGGTGTTTGGTTGGTGTTTGTTTGACAAAACATATGAACCAGGGTGGTTGGAATGGTGTTTTGCGTTGGCAGTGGGTGGTAGCCCCCACTGCTGGGTCTTCTTGCTTCGGTCAATAGATAAAGAGGGAAGGAACGGAGACGATGGTTGGTTGTTATAATTCCTAAGTAGCAGCTCGACGTTGGCTGTGGGTGGTCCTTGGTGGCTGCTACTTACGGTCCAAGGGGAAGGGTGGAGGTTGGTGATCAATTGTTGAAACAGGAAAGGGAAGGATGGACCTGGTGGTGGTTCTTAACTGTACTAGTGGGAGATTGTATGGTGGGTTTATGGTGTGTTCTGATGATTATTGTTGGTGGTTCACAATGGTTCTGTGGTGGTGCTAATGATGCTATTTCAGGACTAAGGTTGTGGGGAGTTAGAGGGATATGTCATCTTATGTAAGTCAATACAATATCACATGAAAATGGTGGTGGGCGTGGTTAGCCCAAGGAAAATGCATACAAGGATTTGAACAAGTTTCATCCATTTATGTATAACACTTATGGTCAAGTGACAAGCAACTTACTGCACGGCTTGTTGGAGAGGTTTGATTTTCAGATCCAAATTAAAGTATATGAGAGTGTGTGTGTGTGTATGTATGTGTGTGTGTTGTGGGTCTTTCTTGTTATTTTTAATTTTTAAAATGTAAAAATACGTGAGTTGTCATAAGGGGTAACTGGGTTACCCCTTCATTTTCTCAAAAAAGATGTTTTAGACCCGATACAAACAACTTTGTTCATTTAAAAGACATAGAAATAACATTAGGGACCGAATGAGTCAATCCTAAAAAGTTGATGGGTTATATGTGTGATTTTCCCTTTTGGCGTGTATATTTTGTTTCGGCTATTATTTATTTTATAGTTAAAAGATCATATAAATACATCCCTCAAATTATAATTTGGTATTTCCTTAAAATCAATGTTTTTCATGGTGCAAACTTTAAATAAATGGACACCGAAATGGAGGTTATTTAGAAAAATCTTACATTGCGTTCAAATATTTATTAATAAAAATAAAATCGACTACATTGAAAGAATCTTCTATTATGTTCGAATTTTCATTAATTAATTGGACTAGATTAGAAAGAGTCTTAAATTTCGATATCTATAATTCGAAGTTCGTACTTCATTAACCCACAATATGTACTTAGGAGACCCAAATATATATTTTTTAATATGTACTTAGGAGGTCCAAATATATATATTTTTCAAACATAAGGAGGCTTCACCAACCATTCTAGGTTGAAGCCTATTTGCTTGAAAGACTATTTAGATGGTATAGAACGAATACAAAATATTTTACTGCTTGAAAGACTATTTAGACGGTGTAGAATGGATACAAAACATTTTGCTAACAGAAAGTGAATTGTTGAGTTTTGAATACCAAATGCATAAGGAAGAAATAGCAACAGATTTGTTGGTATCTATAACATATACGTTTTGAAATCGTGTTTTGTAGTGAATAAAATAGTGAAATACTATGTGAAATTGAATGTTGAAATCTAATAGATGGTTTTTACTAGAAATAAAGTAAAACTATGTTTAGAATCACTCAGAAAATATTGGAAGTCTTATGAGATTCCAATTAAAAGTTAAATAGTGAAATTTAGCGAAAATATAAAATTTTAAATAAGTAAAATTTTATTATTGAAAGTTGTAAATAATCTTGTTAGAAACTTGTAGGCGAAAACCTCGTCGAAATCCGAGTTATAACACAGAAGCAATGACCAATCGAAGATCCGCGATAAAATGACACGACACCGAATGATGTAAAAAGTGAGTTTTTGATAAACTACTTTTTAGCCTTATTGATCTAAATGAAAGTTGTAATATTCGTTAAACCGAGAAGTTCGATAAAAAGAACGCCAAAATCTGACTTCGTATGAGGAAGTTATGATTTTTCTAAATTTCGGATTAGCAGCAGACAACTAAATACTCGAATTTTAGATCGAGCGATATTTGGCCGATACATCCTAAACGAGAATCGAAGGTCTCGTCATTCGTAGTACAATGATAAAAAGTCTGACGAAAACGAATGTTGGATGAAGAAGTTATGAATTTTTAACGGATTTTCCTGTCCCGGTCTGTTAAAAATCATAATAGTAAAATTAAAGTCAAAATTAGTCGACAATGTCTAAACGGAAGTTGTAGAGCATAATTTTAGCTACGCGTGCAAATAAAGAACGTCAAAAACGGAGCTCGTATGCGAAAGTTATGGATTTTAGAAGTTTGGGGCACAATTTTTGAGAACTTTCACACGAATAGTACCAGGCCACGTCACCTCGCACGAAGCAGCTACATATCCGAGACGTAGCCCAAGTCCGAGACCAATGCGTGTCTGCTTCGTGTCCTCTTCTGATTCGTCCGAGGCCGGGGTCCAGTAAGAACTAGACACGTCTCGCATCGGTGGCCAATCCGAAGCGAGCCACGTCTCGCCTACCAGCCCTCGCATTCGAGCCACGTCCGACCTCGCTGGCCCTCACATCTGCTGACAATTGTTCGCTTCTCAACCCTCGGATGAGAAGCCTTAGCCCTATATAAAGGGAGGCACGCGAGCCTTTCCGGGTAGTTTTGGAAATTTGCCACTTTTCACCCCTTTTTCCATATTTTCTTCATTTTGACTTTCCCCGAACCCCCGGTATCAATTTTAGCATCTGAAACATATCCCGAAACTCCCGAGAAGCCCGAAAATTTTAATTTTTCGATTTTGAAGCCCTACCTTCGCAGAGCCCAGTTTTCAATTAAGCTCCCGGTTTTCAACATAGAAAGTCATATTTAAAGCCGAAGTGTTGTCCAAATTACTATTTTAACCCCCGGTTAATTTAAGGTGAGTTTAATATATATGAACAATTGTATGTTATGTGTTATATGTGTTATGTGCTTTTCAGTGTTATTATTTCGGGTTATTTTCTCGTGTTATTTTATTCGCTATTTTTATAGCAAATGTAATACCTTGACCATGTGATCAGTGAAAGGACTTAGATTCACATTGGTACTGGTACGTAGCCTCTGGCCATGTAGAGCATGTCTCCGTAAGAGAATGAATTCTATTCTATTGCATTGCAAATGGTTAGACAGGACTATAAGCCTGAAATCTAACAAGATGTTAATCAGAAATTGTATGTCTTTTATGCCATTTGGGCCAAAGTTTTATTGATGTATATCAAGCATTGAAAAGTATATCTTTGAATAAAGTCTTTGATTGATATGAACGCTTGTCACATGATTTCACATATGTCTTGTTGTTGTTCCTCTTTGGTTATGCCATATTGATGTATATATATGGCATAACGTTATATTGTATCTATTATCGAACTCACTAAGCATCACCGCTTACCCTATCAATGTTTAACAATTGCAGGTGATAAGTAACTAGTATGATCACATACCGTTGAAAGATTTAGAATAGTTTGTAATAGTACTTTTGTACTCCAGTTTATGTTTGTATAAATTACAATATCCTGGGTAGTTATGTAATATATAACACTTTGTAATAGTCGGTTTGTATCCAGTAGTTTGTAATCTCTTTATCAATGTAATATATTGCTTTTATGAATATGAAAGTAGCATGTTTTAGAGTAATAATATTGTGAAGTATGAAAGTTTGGGTCTTTCAAAAATACGAAAGTTGGGGTCTTTTAATCATGGTATCAGAGCAGTAGTTTAAGCGAACTAAATTCCACGGATTGGTATTTAGACTTAAACTATTGAAAGTTCAATATATGAACTTAATCATTGTAAGTATAGGGATACAAACCATAGGAAATATATAAGTAAAAGTATTAGGTAATAATAAACCCTAATATTCTAAAATACAATGTTACTTCGTATTTCAGATCGATGGCCGAACAAGTAAGTAGCCATACCCCTGAGGTTGGTGGAGATCCTCAACCCGAGGAAGTGAATACTCCAGTATCTCCTCATGAGGAGTGACTCTTGGGTAAACTTACTGGTGTTATTCGAAAAACTCTCGAAGAACACAAAAAGAATGGTGATAAAGGAAAAGAGAAAGCCACTGGAGAATCTTCAAGCGGAAAGGTGAAGCGTCTCTCGTTCAAAGATTTCAAGAGTAGTGGTGCTACGGAGTTTTCTAGTGTCCTTAATCCTATAGTTGTTCTAACTTGGATTCAGAACACTGAGAAAGTATTTCGTGTCTCTCATGTGGATGATGAAGACAAGGCTATCTATGCTTCTGCAATGCTTATCAGAGAAGCCTTGGTCTGGTGTGAAGCAACATATGAAGCTGTCAACGGATGTGACCAGGAGAACTTATCCTGGGAGTTGTTCAAAACTCGTGTGCTAGAGAAGTATTATCCTCTAGATATGAGGAGAAGATTGGAGAAGGAATTCCTCGAGCTTAAACAAGGAGGAATGACTGTGAATGAGTATGAAACTCAGTTTAATCAAAGAGAAAGGTTTGCTACGAAGTATATTCCACTGAAGAAGAGAAAATTCAGTTATTCATGGAGGGACTATGACACGAAATCCATGATTTCGTTGCCAATCGGGATGATCTGTCATTTGATAAAGCTATTGAGTATGCTCGAAGGCGTGAGCATGACTTAGAGATATGTGGTGCCACTCTTACTGTTCCAAAGCATCCACGTACTGAAAGAACTACTCCTGTTTTCACTATTCCACCATCTCAATCTATTCGAACTGATCCTAGCAAGCAAGCGCAATCTCAAAGTGCTTTTTGTGGCCGCGGCAGGTCACAATCTTTTTCTATTCAATCGCCTTTATGTCGCGTTTGTGGAAGGAATCATCCGGGTCAATGCAAAATAGACAAGGAATCCATTGTCTGTTATGGGTGTGGAGAAACTGGTCATATAAAGCCAGCTTGCCCAAGGAAGGATATGACTTGCTATGCATGTGGTATTACTAGCCACAAGAAGCGTTTTTGCCCTACTCTTACCAGCCAAGTGACGGGAAGTCAAGCTTCTGTTCAACAACCGGCGAGAAGTCAAGTCCCTATCCAACAACCAAAGAATACTCCAGCTAAAAAGGAGGAGGTGCCAAAAGCTAAGGGTTGTGCATTCCAGATTACCACAAAGGAAGTACGTGAGGACCCGAATGTTGTGACAGGTACATTTCTTGTCAACTCTAGACCTGCTCACATCTTATTTGATTCTGGTGCCTCAGATTCTTTCGTATCTTATGAATTTGTGCATTCTTTTCAAACTGCTTGCTATGCTCTCGCGCAACCATTTCATGAGGATACTGCGGGAAGTATATCATTACTTGCTGATAAAATCTATAGGGATTGTGTCATAGAAATTGAAGGCTATAATTTTCTTGCTAACCTAATCCCTATCTCTTTGCCCAACTTTGATATTATTCTCGGCATGGATTGGTTGTCAAAGAACCATACAGAACTCTTGTGTTACGAAAAGATGATACACA